AACATGTAAAGTGCATGGTAGAGAAGAGTGGATGACTGTGCCACTTATTTGTGGGTTCAGTGGTCTCCTGTGCTTTGCATGTGTTGGGGGTCACAGGCTGGGCTAACTGCAGTTGGTTCTAGAAGGTTCCATGCATGTACCCTTTTGAAGTGTGTGCGTCCCTATGAGAGCATCTGGGATTTACACTTTTCCTCTTTTTACTGGATGATGTCCAAGCCAAGGTTAGAGCACCACATAAAATCAGTGAGGTAGCACTAGGGAGCTTGTGATGGGGTGCAGGGACTCAGGGAGGAATATGAAGAGGATTGCACTTGGGGGGCGTCTGCCATAGTCACTGTGAGGCTCCAGGTGTGCCAGGAACCCATCCTCTACAGTGACTCTGCTGTTCATCTTGACCCATGCCCAGCCGTTGTTCCGGCAGGACACAGTGGGGAGCAGTGCCCCATGACAAGCTCCTGTTTATTTCCTAGAAGGTCAAGATTTGTCCTTTGCGGGAGGGCTTTTCACATTGGAGAGGAAATGTGGCTGGAGCAAGACGGGACCCCCAGGGTGGCCTTGGCGGGACTCCAGCGTGGCCTTGGCGGGACCCCGGGGGTGGCCTTGGCAGGACCCCGGGGATGGCCTTGGCGGGACCCCGGGGATGGCCTTGGCGGGACCCCGGGGTGGCCTTGGCGGGACCCCAGTGTGGCCTTGGCGGGATCCCTGGGATGGCCTTGGCGGGACCCCGGGGTGGCCTTGGCGGGACCCCAGTGTGGCCTTGGCGGGACCCCAGGGATGGCCTTGGCGGGACCCCAGGGTGGCCTTGGCGGGACCTCAGTGTGGCCTTGGCGGGACCCCGGGGATGGCCTTAGCTTTGGGCAGTGTCCTTTTCTCCCACGGTGTCTTTGCCATCGTGGTTTTCTGTTCACCATCACTGGTTTTGATTTCCATATATGATTATTTTTGGTCTACATAAAGACGCTCATTAAAAACAAATATGTGTCATACTAAAAAAAAATCCATGTTCGGATACTTGCATTCAAGCAGATAATGAATTTAAACATCATGATTAATATAAGAAATGCTCAGCTTCTTGACTCCCACGGCCAGGTGGAGGATCTGACCCCTGCCGGGCTGTGATTGTTGTGGAGAGAGAGCAGATGCCTGTGACAGCACTTGCCGTTGTGGGAGGAGTCTGGACAGTTCTTGCTGGACTTGGAGACAGTGAGTGGGTGGTACCACACTATCAACTGCTCTGGCCCTTGACTCTGTCGCCAGCCTCAGCGAGGTGGCGTGCCCCTTCCTGTCAACAGACACTCCCAGAGGACAAAGTCAGCTTGCTCACTCACTGTGTGCTAGATCGCAGAAAAGGTTGTTAAGTCAGGCCTGTTGACTGAAGGCGGGCAGGGGCATTTGAACACCCTGCCTCCCTCTTCAGGAGTGGGGGAGAATCGGCCACTAGTAGGGAATGTATGAGTGAATTAACAAGCATCTTACCATCTGCCAGTGAGAATTCCAGGCCAGAATTCTCAGGCCAGGTCTTTAAATATTTAACCCCCATGACTTCCTTACCAGGAAACCATGTCATGTTTGTAAACATCTATTGAACTGGAGGGGGCTGACAATGGCAATTCAGGGTGCATGCCTTGTACCTTCCAGACCTCTCAGAACACTTACACATGTCCCTTACATATCTCTGCAGTGTGGGGTGGCCCGCGTTGTGATCAGTGAGCAAGCCACAGGCCAAAGGCATGGTAGCGTGTCAACAGTGGCTGTGACATTTAACTGATTCCAGTGACAGGAAGTCCAAAGTTCTTGTCAGTCACAGACCTTCCAGACAGATCAGAGGAATCATTCATTCAGCTCTGGACTTAATCATTATACTGTTGTATCTGTGGGAGCATCCTGTAGCATGCAGGTTTCTCTGACTGGATACCAAGGATTCTTGAAATGTGGGCCACTCATCACCTGCTCTCTCACCTCTGGGGGAGCTGTAATAGAAACCCCGGATTTTGGTCATTGGAGCTGGGCTTTGAATCTGCAGGTGCAGCATGCATTCCTACGACGCTTGGTGTTCTGCTGTCGGGGGTACCAGGGATGAAGCTTGCAGTCTGGATGTGAAGGGACTGGCTTGCATTAGTGACCTACTTGGCTGGTGAGCTGTGGCATGGGAAGTGTACATATTATCCTGGATTGTTCCCTCTTCGCCTTTTTATAAGGAAATGTCTTCCCGTTCTGTATCTGTCCCAACTCTTCTCAGCAAGCTGAAGGTAGATGGCACGAGCAAAGTGGTCTGGTTTCCTGGAGTCCTGTGTGTCTGTCCTGGGTATCTTCATGGGGAGAAAGGTGAGGTCTGTGTCTGGTTCAGCATGGACTTCTCTTATCCAGGTGGAGTCTGAAGGCAGTCCAGCCGCATTCTTTCTGTCCGCCCATCCACGTGTCCGTCTGTCTGTCTGCCTGTTCATCTGCCCGCCCATCTGTCCATTTGTCTGCCCATCCCTCCAATCTTTCATTCATCCATCTGATGTTCAGAGTAGAGATCCCTGAATTTCCAGTGCTTATTTTCTGATGCCCCTGTGGCAAATCCTGCAGGGGGTCCTCACCTTCCTGGAGCCAGCAACCAGGTGACTGCACACATTTCCACTGACTCTGGCATGTGTATTTGAAGCTACAGCTGGCAGGTCACTTCGCTAAAAAAAAAAATCAACTAAAGAACCTCCAGGAGTTGTTTTTCCACTCTGACCTCAGTTCCAAACTGCCCAGAAGCCACTGGTTTCCATGCTCATCCTGTGTTCCTTCAGAGGCAGTCCACTGTTTTCATCTTTTCTTTTTTAAGTGATTTGTTTATTTAATTGAAAGGCAGAGTTACAGAGATAGGGAGAGACCGACAGATCTCTCTCCCTCTCCCTCTTTCTCCCTCTCTCATACACACACACACACACACACACACACACACACACACACACACACACACACACAGTGTCTCATCTGCTGGTTTACTCCCTAGATGGCCACAATAGCCTCGGCTGGACAGACAGAAGCCAGGATCCAGGAACATCATCTGGGTCTCCCACACTGGTGGCAGAGACCCTAGTGCTTGGGTCATCTTCTGCTGCTTTCCCAAGGCCATTAACAGGGAGTTGTACTGGAAGTGGAGCACCAGGAATTTGAATCAGCGCTCATACTGGATGCCAGCATTGCAGGTAGTGGCTTAACTCGCTACACTGCAACACTGGTCCCTGTTTTCATGTTCTCTAGTGACTCGCACCTGATGAAACAGCATGCATTTATGCTGGGATACCACCAAGTGCTCAGTGTTGAGTGACAGGCTTGTTGAATGGCAAACCAGTTGAGCAGATCAGCTTAGCTACAGCTTGGCTTCAGATTAGGGCACTTGAAATGCTTGGTGTGGGCTCTCTTGGGAACCGATGCAGTTATCACATGCTACTGGCTGGGGGCGCTGCCCAGCAGGGCTTTCTGTGAGGATGGAAATGACTCCTATCCTGCCATTTGAGCCCTGGAGATGTGGCTAGTGTAGTTGAGTGCTGGTTGCTTGACTGTGTGAATATAAATTAAACTTGAATTTGGAAATCACATGAAAGCAGCATTGAAGAGGTCTAAGACATGGCAGCAATAACTCAAAACGACTTGTTCCTTTTTCCTCCCCCCACTACCTCTAATTTCCTGCTTGCTCAGCCTCCCCTTATCTTTTATTTCTCTCCTGTCCCCATGATAAAATAGAAGAACAATGACAACGGTGGTCCTGCAGAGAGATGAAAAAGCAATTACAGGGTGGCAGATCCTGTGGTGGAGCAGGGGAGGGGCTTTCTGAAGACCACCCCCTGAGGTCCTTTGAAAGTGACCCTCCCATCAGTGGTCCTTCTTGTCTTCAGGTTCTGGGCTCTCAGTGAAGGCTACCAGGACGTGAGTTCCAAATGCCATTGTCCCAGTCCTTCTCCAATAGATGTCCCTGGGCCTAAGTAAAGGATATCGGAGCAGGACAGGCACTGCTTCAGCCTTGACGTCTTAATGTGTTTTCTGTGGCTGCAGTAAAGTATCCGAGGCAGCCTAATTTATAGGGAAAAGAGGTTCATTCAACTCCCAGCTTTTCAGGTATGAGGGTGTGATACCGGTTTCCCGTCTTCCCCCGGAAGCCACAGGGAGTCTGTGGATAATAGTGCAATGTCCTGGGATACCTTAGAACACATTAACCCTTTTTGAAGATTAATTTTTATTTATTTGAAAGGCAGGGTTATAGAGAGTGGAGGAAGAAGAGGAAGGGGGAGGGAGAGAGAGAGAGAGAGAGGATCTTCCATTTATTCTGTAAATACAAATAGTTGCAACAATCAGGACTGGGCCAAGCTGAAGCCAACAGCCCAGAATTTCTTCTAGGTCTCCCATGTGTTGCAGGGACCCATCTTTTGCTGCTTTCCCAGGTGCATTGGACCATCTTTTGCTGCTTTCCCAGGTGCATTAGCAAGGAGCTGGATCAGAACTGGAGCAGCCAAACCAGTGCCCATATGGGTGGCTGACAATGCAGATGGAAGCTGAGCTTCTATGCCATGCTAGCCCCTATGTTAATCCTTCCCAAGGGTGGTCCCCCAGTGACCTAACTGCCCTGGGAGGCCCGACATCTTAATGTGCTCTCCTGCTCCAGGATTCTGCTACTTGTTAACACTTCTACCTTGGGGACACAGCCTCTTGGGAGACAAGCCACATGCTCCCTAGACCACCAAGGGAGTCACCATCAGGTCAGCATTGGCTGCTTCTCAGGAGTGTCAGAGGTGTCAGGCACTGATTCTTGGTCTGAGTGACCAAGCACTCATTTATTGGTGGCCACAGTATTGCAACGGCTGATACTACAGAGTGCTGAGTAATGGAACATGCTGAAGGGAAGTTGGCCTGTAACGTCTGGTCATAGCAAGCCAAATAGTCAAAATATTATTGGGAAACACCTGCAATGTGTAGTTTAACTACAGACTGTGAAACACTAAAATATTTTCCCCCTTTCAACCTTATAGGCAGTATTGATAAGCCAAATACATCATTGCCTACCTGGGCCATAGTGCTACTTGCTGTGTCACTTTCATTACTTTTGATCCTGATCATTGTTCTGATTGTAATATTCTGCTGCTGTTGTGTCTCCGGAAGAGAAAAAAAAGGTAATTTTAAAAATATGAATTCGTATGTATTTCTGTATTTTTGATGCAAGCAGTTGAAGTAATGGCTCATCAAGTTTTGATGAGGTGAATGTTTGTAGGTGAATGTTGGTGTAGTGGTGGGAAGAGAACTGTGGGTTTGGGTTAGAAAATAGGGCCAGTAATGTGAATGACCACATAGGCCTTCTGAAGGAAAGTCTTGCGTGATATCCCAAGCTGTTGGAGAGCAGTTTAGGGTCAGGGATCAGGAGTGGGATGTGGGTCTTGCATTGGAGAAGGTCGTTTGTGACTTTAGAAGCCAAAGCAACCTTTGCACAGCAATAATCCAGGACATCCTGGCCCCAGATGCGTGCTCCTCTCTGCTTTTTTTTTGTTGTTGTTAAAAACAAACAAACAAACAAACAAAAAGTCTACTCCTATTTGTGTCTTTTCTATGGTTAAATGATTCCTCTTACGAATTTGATGTCAGGCTGCATGTCAGCGGACGTACTGTTTTTATTTTATGAACATTGACTGCTGTGAGCTTGGCTTGTGGGGTATCAGGGATGCACAGGCTGGGTCACACAGAGCAGCTCTCTTCCGGACTCTTGCATGTCAAACAAGTGGTCTAGCCTCAATGAGGCTAGTGGTCTACCCTTAACCAGGCTCACGAGTCACGCTTCAGCTCCTCCTTAGAATCGGTTTGTGATTGTGGGGCTTTTTGATGAAATAGCTCCAGAGAAGCAACATAGGAAAGTCTAAGGGTCCTGTTGACCCGATTCGATAAGGGCTTGCTTCCCCTGCAAATCGTCCCACGTGGTACAGCAGGCCTGCTCAAAAGAAACACACTGGGCTTTTATTAAGAGCTATTGAGGAGCTCCAGCTGTAAGAGAGAACATGGTAGTCTCTTCTCGTTCCTCTGGAGTGGCTGGGGAATTCCGCTTCCCGAGGGATTTTTGCCTGCTCCAGCCTAGTGTTGTCATTCCAAGCGGCAGATTCTCCTAAGTGAGTTCAAATTTACCAGCAGCAGTGCTGCAGTTGAGGTGTGTGTGGCATAGCTGCCACTGCATGGGCTCAGGGAGGTGAGGCAGAGGTCAGGTCAGACATGAGCATGATATGGGCTGTTCCAAAGAGCTATCCTTAGCTACCAGGACCCAGGACAGCGTGATGTTGGTGCTGAAGCCCCTGCTGTGTGAGGTTGGGGTGGCCTCTGTGCCCAGGGGAGCTTCTGGCAGAGTCTGGGTAAGGATCCTTTTGCTCAGGGGCCTGTGGGTGAGGTCCTGCCTTACAACCACTCCTCTTCATTTATTGATTTTTTAAAAAGATTTATTTTATTGTAAAGTCAGATATACAGAGAGGAGGAGAGACAGAGAGGAAGATCTTCTGTCTGATGATTTACTCCCAAGCAGATGTAATGGCTGGAGCTGAGCCAATCCGAAGCCAGGGGCCAGGAGGAAGTTTCTTCTGGGTCTCCCACACAGGTGTAGTGATCCAAAGCTTTGGGCCGTCCTCAACTGCTTTCCCAGGCCACAAGCAGGGAGCTAGATGGGGACAGAGCCGCCAGGATTAGAGCTGGCACCCATATGGGATCTCGGCCTGTGTGAGGCAAGGACTTTAGCCGCTGGACTGTAGTGCTAGGCATCATTTATTGATTTTTAAAGATTTCTTTACTATTCAAAAGGCCAAGTGACACACACACACACACACACACACACACACATCTCCCATGCCCCATTTCACTCCCCAAATGATCACAGCAACTTGGGTTGGGCCAGGTTAAAGCCAGGAGCCAGGGACTCCATCCTGTTCTCCCATCTAGGTGGCAGGAGCCTAAGAACTTGAGCCATCCAGTGCCTTCCCAGGTGCTTCCTCAGCCGGGAGCTGGATTGGGAACTGAATATCTGGGACTTTACATGGCAATGAAATGCCAATTCATGGTGGCCTGGTGAGAAGGCTAAGGGGGGATTGCAGGCCCCACAAGATGGCACAGGGGCATTTTCAGGGTCTTCTTTTACCAAATGGGACTCTGTCATGGCTTTTGGGTGGGCTGTGAGAATTTGAACGATTCGTGTGTTAGACATCTGTATTTTTGCCTTGCTTCCTTGTGGGTGGAAAGTCCACATAGGATGGACTTGTTTTTCAGTTTGTGAGTGATAAGATAAGGACTAAGAACATGGCTTGCCTGGTCCTCCAGGTGTGACCATCATGGAAATTACCCTGCACCTGAGCATAGATGTAGAGGTGCACCAGCTTCTCCAGCAGCAACATTTCAACTCTTAAAAAGTGCTGGGCATCAAAAACTATTTTCTGATGCTCTACTGGTAATGGAGGAGTCTTGGGGCTCAGCCTGCTTAACTGGGGACTCACTGAGGATAGCTGAAGGCCCCATTCAGCTTGGCCTGGGGCTGGAGGGAAGCTGTAGAGAAGCTGACCCTCACAGGCCGGACCCACACCCATTGCTGGAGAGTGTTGATCAGGGGACATCTTGTCGGCAGCCTCTCCTAGAGTTCAGCTAGGATTAGCCTGAGCTTCCAGTTGGGATGTCAAGGAACAGACGTGGCCAGAGCTGAAAGTCAGTGACACAATTAAGGAAATGGGATATATATATTTTTTCAGACATCAGGAAAACGATGTGTTCAGGGCCTGGATAAGAAGCCTAGTTGTAGGTCCTGGGAGGCCCAGCCAGATGCTGCTGTGAGCTGGGCCTGCAGCTTGCTGTTCTCATCTTCAAAGTCTAGCTTCCCTACAGTCCAGGAACACGCTGATGATGGACACTGGCAATTGTGTGTCCGCTGGTTTATGGGGAGGACACAGCTGCATGCATGGATGAGGCTGGTGCCTAGGAGCTGAAAGTGAATTCCAGAACTGCACACCGGCAGCATGCTCACAAAGCAGCATCCAGTCTGTGAAAATGTGCTGCACCAACTGCTGGGGTTATCAAAGCAGTCGGGCCATAGCTGTGTGCCGTGAGTACCGAGTGAACCGCAGTGGTTGCTGGTTCCACGCACTGCTTCATCATCTCACTCTTCAGATTCAGCAATCATAAAGTGCTGGCTGGATACCAAGTGTATCGTGAGGACCACAGACCATCCCAGCAGGGAACTTCATGCCCTTCCTTATACCTGGAAGCTGCTTGATGACTTACTGCAAGGCAATGTAATAATGCCATTGGATCACAAAGACTCCAGGGAGATCTATTAAGATCAGTGATGTTTTATTTTTAGCCCACATGCCTTAGTATCTTTGATTGTTCTAACCCTGAAATTGTCCCCCTGTTTTGTTTCATTGCAGAATCCAGCTATCAAAGTGAAATAAGGTAAGTTTAGAATCACGTTAGTTTTGGACACACATTGCAAAGCAAGCAATGCACTGTGAGTCGCTGGGATTTCCGTTGTCCCCTCTGAGAGGCACACGTGTTGAGCCTAACTTGCAGGACAGCACTGGCTGCAAGGGGAGCCAGATGGGCAGCTGCTGCCTGCATTTTGCTTGCTCCAGTTCACTATGGAGTCTGGTATTTGCCAAGTCATAAGATGGCGCTGTGCACCGAGCCTGTGGTACCTGTTGCTAGGAATAGCAGCAGAGGTCCTGGGAACATGTGGAACTGTGCCTACAGATGCATTAGGCAGTGTTTGGCACTGGCTTGCTCAACCCCACGGGCAGGGGAGAACCCAGTGATCACTCCCTCCCGGGTGGGCATAAATGGGTGCAGGCACTTGTAAGGCAACGGTGTCAAGTACTTGTAATGATGTATAACCAGCAGAGTGTGTGTCTGCGGTACTTACATAGTCACAAGTGCGGGAAGGGCTTTCTAGGCTGCTCTCCCAGACTTTTATTAGGTCTTGTAAACTTTTCATGGACTGAGATTCTTGCGGCTGCACACGCCGCTGTGGTTGGATGATATAACCAACAAGTGACCACCTGCTCTCACCCTGCCCCCTGAGGGCTGTACTTGGCAGTCCCCTCCAAGGGCTGCCTGAGCTCTCATCCCTCTGGGGCCTGAGTTGAACCAAAGACAGAGGTAGAGGAATGGACCATGACTGTGTGGGGCATTGGCTTGACTCAGATTGTCACCAACAATGGACCCGTATTCTGTGGACTGAGTCAGTAACTTTCATTTATGGTCCCTGGGCCAAAATAACCCACAGCTCTTCTGGGTCACAGGTGGATGGCAACCACAGCAGTGGGGTGGTGACCACAATAATGGTGACAATAAAATCTGTCTTGGTATGCTATGGAAACTGGTCTGAGGACTCCATCCACCACAGCTGCCCATGGTTATCTAAATCCTAGGATGCCTAAGGTGTGTACACTGCATGGACTCTACCCACAGCCTTCTGTATACTTCATTCATCTTCACATTTCTAGAGAGCAGAGGGCAGGAACTGCGGCCCAGGCGATCCTGCTGCAGCCCAGCCCTTCTCTCTGCATCTGGGCTGGGCTGCCAGAGACCTCAGGGGAGCAATGAGGGCAGCTTACTGGCTGGTCTTGTCCAGAAGCTGTTTCTTCTACCATGCCCATGTTGCCGATTCTGGTCCTCAGAGGACATCTCCTGCATCTCAATGCACACATATTTAGTGTTAGAAAATCAATGCAAGGTTATAGTGGAAAACAGTTGAACGCAAAGAAAGAGTGCCGGATTCACTCGCAGTTCTATGATCATTACTATGATCTATGATCGTCACAGTCCACACATCATTACTGCTACCTAAATGCATGTGTTCTCACATACACACATGTTCACAAATATTCCTGAAGTCTGGGGTGGGAATAAGTGTAGAAAAGTGTGCAAATTTTTGGTGTGTGGCTTGATGGATGTACATAAAACATGGATGGTCAGTGTGTGGTGCTAGAACATTCTTAGCTCCTCAGAAGTTTCCCTGGGGCTCCTGGCACATTGCTGCTTGCCACTACCCTCCCCTGGGAGCACTCCGGTGACGTCTCCCACAGGCCCAGAGTTCAGGCTCATGCATGCCTTCCTGAGCTGCCCACGTTGAGAGCTTCCTGCGTCCCTGTGGACAGCTTGTTTACATCTGCTCCCAAATGCCATTTATTTTTCCAGGTGCTTCAAAGGGGTCTGCACCTAGGTTCAGGTTGGGACTATTCTGAATACCACCGCTGTGCATGTTCACATGTGTGTCTTGTTCCCCAGCCAAATCCTGCCTCCCTTCTGTGCTCTGTTAGGCCGAGCAGTGACTATGTATGGTCAGCTCCAGACGAGACTGCCTCAGTTTCCCAAAGCAGGGGTGTTACTTCCTTAGTAGGGAGCCAGAGTTCCCAGTTTGTATTTTTAAAAAAATATTTTATTTACTTTTTACTGAAAGAGAGAGAATGAGATGTTCCATGTGCAACTTAAGTCCCCAAACAGCTGAATGGCCAGAGCTGGGCTAGTCTAAAGTTTGGAGCCAGCAGCCTCTTCAGGGTCTCCCATGTAGATGCAGGGTCCCAATGCCTAGGACTATCTTCTGTTGCTTTCCCAGCCCTTTAGCAAGGAGCTGGATTAGAAATGGAGTGGCTGGGACTCGAACCAGCACCCATGTGTGATGCCAGCACCTGTGCCGCTACACCCGTCCCCATTGGTGCTTTTATAAATACCTTATGAGTGAATGTCATTCTAACCTACTTTTGGCACAGAGCCTTGCTTATTTCCCAAGAATGAATTCTTAGAAATTGTGTGTGTATTTTTAATCCCTTGTCTATCCATATCCCCTGGAAACTTGCACCAGTTCTTGCTTTATTTCAGGGCTTAGCTTGACTTGGCTTGAAGGGTATTTTCAGTTTTGCCAGCCGTATGGTCTTGGTCGCCATGTCTCAACTCTGCTGTTACAGCATGGAAACACTCAAAGGGAATCTGTGAGCATACAGGTGTGGCTGTGGGTCAATAAAAGTTTATTTAATAAAAACAGGTGCTGGGCATGATCGGGTCTGGGGGACATAGTTGGACCCCTTCTTTATGGGGTCAGTGTTTTCTGAGTCAATGGTTTCTGAGAGGCCAGTGCTCTTGGGATGGTTTGAGTTTCCTTTCTCCCTGTATTGGGACTATTGGCCACCACACCTGTTCCTCAGAAGCCGCTGACTGAGATGTGGCCTTCCTGTAGGAAGTTTAGCCTGTACAAACATGAATGGGGTACTGGTTGCCAATTAACATTTGGCTTTCTGAAACTGTCCACTTCTAGGAAATCTGCACAGGTCAAGACAACAAACCAAGAAACTTTTGAGACAAAATTAAAAAGTGGGAATGAAAACCGTGGATACAGTTCTGACGAACCAAGGGCTGCTGGTGAGTGGACTGGCGGGGTGGCGGAGAGGCCTGGCGAGACAGGTTGGGGGAAAGGCTAGCTGGGCAGGTATGGGTCAGTTCACAAGGTGGAGTGAGCCCCTGCGGTCCCTGCTTCTTCGAACACTTAAAACAAGAGAATCAAGAACTAGGAGTATTGTGATAAAAAAGGAAAAGGTCTATCTATCTAAAGTGTAAGGTAAAATGCAGTGGAAACCTCATAGTTATGCAAACATAGTTCTCTGTGTTTCTTTCCCCGTGTTCTTTACTTTCTTTGAAGACTTTCGAACCCCCTGGAGAGAGCTTCCTTCCAGTTTCAGCCAGAGGCCAGTGAATCTGCAGTTCAGTGGGAGGCCTCGTGATACTGGGACCTCTTTTGAAAGTCTCCCTGTAGACTCATCTTCCTTCAGAGTTGGATGGAGTAGGGGGAATCTGAAGCTATCCCAGCAGTCTAGGTTGTGAGGTTGCTGAGAGGGGAAAGGCTGAATCCGTTAGTCTTGGGGCAACGTGAACAGCTTGAACAGGGTGGCTGGCAGCACACATGGCCCGATGGTGGGTAGCCGGTGATCCCGGCCTGGAGAGCCTGCTGCCCGTTGTTCCTCTCTGAGATGGGGAATCTGTCCTCAATGGTCCCAGTCTTTTGATGCGATCACAGGGACCTCCCACGTGTGTTTTAAATCATGTGCTTCAGGTTGTAGAGGATCCCACAAAGCCTGTCTGCTTCCCCGTGGCAAGGCGCAGAGTCCGGGAGTGAGTGTTCGCTGTTAGTGTCTTGACCAACATGATGGCTTGGAGCTTGAGCTCTGCTTTGTGTGTGGGGGCTGCCTGTGGATTCATCTCGTCCCTGTGAGACTGGGGTGTGCAGAGAGAGACTGACATTAAGTCAGTCTTTCATACTTTAATATCACTAAAAAAATTTCCAAATTATATAATGTTAAGGAAACAACAAAAGAGAAAAGAAAGAAAGAAAAGAGAAAGCAAGGAAGAAAGAAAGAAAGAAAGAAAGAAAAAATCCTCCCATCTATGATTCAGGTTTATTTGGAACCAGGAGTAAGCCCAGAAGCCAGGGATCTTGTGCTGTTTCTGTTTCTTCTCACTCTGTGTTCGTTCTTCTGTTGCAGAAGCTGCCTCAGTCCCTCCCAGATCCAGAGAACTCGGGGTACTGGAGCAGCAGAATCGTGCCCATGCTTATCAGGTGATGTAGGATTCTTCCCCACTCCCTCCTCTTCTCTCCCGCCCCTTGATCCTACTTGGAGGGAGGTGATAGCATGACGGTACGCATTGCACGTTAGTGGGCATATCACTAACTCTCTCAATCTCCATATCCATTGGTCAGCCTGGAGACCAAGGGCTGAGGCCCGCTCTGTTGCTCTTTGTGAACCACTCCAGGTGCTGTCTGGGGAGAATGGGCTTCATCTGGGATGTATCTCTGCTGGAAGTATGAGCCAGCCCGATGATGGGCAATGTGGAAACTTCACCTTCTGTGCTCGTGGAGCCAAGTTCTCCCAGGACCGGGGTCTGCTTTGCTCTCTTGGATGGCTAGACCCTCATGCTACCTGTCCACACTGGGACCCACGGGGACTCTGGCCTCTGACATATTTGCAAATACAACTTCAAATGAGAAGCGCTGTGTGTTTTCTGTGTCCCCAGGGAGCAAAGAAGCTCTCCCCTGGTGGTTTTTGGAGAAGCCACCCTGGGCCAGATGCTATGTGCAGGAGTGGCTGTTCCTCTGAGGCCATGGAGCCATGTGCACCTCTCTTGGTCTGAGTGTTTGCTGGAGTTTCCAGGAAGTCTCAGGCTGTCTTATTCCCCTTGAGGCTGGGCTCCACCGAATGCAGCCATCTTGCCAGTGATGCCTTTGGGGCATTCAGGGAGGTAGTGAGCCCTGGATGATTCCCAGCTGTGCACTGGGAGAACACCAGTGATATTGTTAGTGGCAGCACAGGTTGCCAGGCAGGAAGCCACATATGGGCACATGGCACAAGGGAAGATGGGCTGATGACAAGTTGACAGCTCCCAGGTGAGCTCTAGCTCCTTCCTGAGCAGCAGGGAAAGGGGGCGAGAAATTTCCTGCTAGTAAGGTTGCTTTCTCGGGCCCATGTATTTCCAGTGCATTTAATCTGGAGCCGGGAGTGTTGACTTGAAAAAACTCAAAAAGCTGGACAGGTATTCATTAGAAGAGGACCAGATTCCACACCAACAGGTGATGGGTGAAAGGAGCAGCTGTCAGGCTTCAAAAGGTGAAGCCTGCATGTCTGGGCCAGGGTGGAGATTTCAGGTGACGAAGGGGTGCAGCCAGCCAAGCACGGGCAATCCCATGTCACGCTGAAGGTATCCAGGACTTCTGCAGGCCTGCTGTGGTCTTTCTTTGCAACTCTGTTTTCAAGGGTTTGGGTCTGAGGTGATGGGGAGGAGACTCCATAGCGTCCTGTTGGAGAGTTCCCTTGGAAAGTTACTCAGTGTAACCAAAGGACGAGGGGCACGCTGGGTACGTCTGGAGACAGGAGTGAGAACAATGCTTTGGGGTTCTGGGCGATGCTTCTTGAAGCTTAAAGTGCTGTTTTGAAAATACACAAAGAGAGACCTGTAAGAGGCTTCTGCCGCTGAAACAATCTCTCCATGGAGGAAGCACGATGACCATGCAGGTAACGACCCCCAGACATTGGTACTTCCCAAAGGTTTTTGAGGCTCCAGGTGGAGCTGTGCATTTCAACAGAGAGCAGCAAGCTCTGTAATAAGGGTTTTTGCTTGGGCTAGGAACTGGCCAGCAATTATTAATGTGCCAGCTTGCTAGCTATAGTGGTGAGCTTCTGAATGAGCATGCTTCTGCAGAGGTCAGCGTATGATCATGAACAAAGCATGTCTTTGTAGTTCTAGGCCCAGTCTTTAGTTCCATCTGGGTTGACCAGTTGGACCACTTGGCTGCAAGGTCTCACCCATTGACTGTGTTCCCAGGAAATGGTGAGAGAAGGGAGTGAGCAGGATGGAACATGAGCACCCTCTTGTGTGTTTTATGATTCAAAATGTATATGGTCAGCTGGCCATTTGTGAGCTGCCAGTGTGACCAAGTCTCAGTTTGCAGAAGGAGGTCAAGCTAACCCATGCATACTGGTACCATCTAAGAGCTCCTGGAACCCAGACTTTGCAACCCCACCTGGTACATTATTGTGAGTTCTTGCTGTGCTACCCAACAAGGCCCATCCTTAGGCCTCATTGGGCCAGTGGGAGGACTATGTCACCTACAACCTCATTTCAAACCCTCCATCCTGCCCTGAGCCCACTCCGTAACAGCCCCGGGGAGAGGCAGTGGAGGAGAGCTGCCTCTGACCTGTTCTGAGCTTGCTCTCATCTGTCCTGTCATCCTCCCTCTGCCCATTTTAGTGTGATTCTAATTTGCCACAGGGCCCCATTCTTGGGCTGGGAGCTGGCATTGCATGCCTACCTCTCAGGCCCAGAGCTGGCGTCTGGTAGGACTCCTGACCCAGCAACCAGCTTGCTGGAGTTCAGGGCTGTTGACCACAGACTGCACTGTTCTTGCTATGCTCAGGCCATAAAGCCTGTGGATTAAACCAGGAGATTCCCCAGCTGCAAGTTGGCCTGCAGCAAATGCTCTTCCCGTTTTGCTTGCTGTGGGGCTGGTTGAGTCAGATGGATGGCCTCTCCACAGAGACACAGCGGGGCACAGCAATTAACACCCAGACCGTGTGCTAATTCATCTTGGAGCAGGCTTTGTGCTAATGTGTCTTGGATTGCAGGATGATTCTGGTTTTGTAGAAAGCGCAGTATCCGTTGTCCCCATCTGCTTGCTCTGAGCTCCTGCCTGCTGCCTGTGTGCCCGAGGCATTCCTGAAGGTCACGTTTACTGCAAGACTGTAGCGGGCTAGCCCAGCATTCCCAGGAGCTCAGAAAGCAGTGATTCCTGCAAGTGGAGAATGGCAGCAGTGCCTCGTGTCATTACACTGCCCGGCAGAGTGTGATGACAAGTGTGTACTCACGTCTAGATACAATGCCTTTGTTGCGAGCTGAATTCACGTCAAGCAGGACAGGCGTGGATACGTATCATAACCTAGACATGATCTTGACTCTCAGGTCACTGGCAGAAGTGAAATAATTCCATGTCAAGTTGCCATTTCCCTCCTTTATGATCTGGGGGCTTTGGTTTCCTTCAAGAACATTCTACTTTCTAATTTGTTTGAAATGTGGAGTTACAGAGAGAGGAAGAGAGACACAAGGAGAGACGTAGCCATCTTCTTGTTCATTCTCCAAATGGTAACAATGGGCAGGGCTGGGCCAAGCAGAAGCCGGAAGCTGAGCACTTCTGAGTCTCCTATATGGATGCAGGAGCTTGGGGTATCTTCTGTGGCTTTCCCAGGTGCACCAATAAGGAGCTGGATTGGAAGTGGAGCAGTCGGGATTTGAACTGATGCCCACGTGGGATGTTGCTGTCACAGGCAGAGGCTTAACGTGCTATGCCACAATGCCAGCCCTGGGTGGCCCCCATTTTAATATGGTCCAGGTTTGCAGAAATAACCCTGAGGCCTTTGTCCCCATCTCTGGATCTCCAGGATTAGGACTGGGGCAGAATCTGAGCATTTCAGCACTTTGAAATGAACATGTGCAGTTCTGATGTGTCTTTAGTTGTGACAATTATTGGATGCCCTTAGCAAGATTATAGCAAGATGGAAATGGGGGGTTGCAGCAGTGAAAACAAGCAACTCACCAAACACTGAGCCACCTCCTGCATCATTTCACTGTGCCCTACACATGTGTAACATCTATGATTTGCTCCATGTGCCCAGGCATTCATGGTGAGCTGTGCTTCACTGCTCTGGGAACGGGTGTGCTGGGCCCTTCAGTAGCATTGCTGGTGTTTGCTCTCTTGACACACCTGCCTACAACTCGGTGGGCTCCCTGCGAGGAAAGCAGGATCCAGGCTTGGAGGGCCAGAGGGCCGCAAAAGTCCACCTGACATGGCCAGAAGCCTCAAGGCTGCTGGCTGGGGTGTGTCATGTCAGTACCTGACACTGGGTTGTATGCAGTCCCTTCCCTTGCTCACTGCAGCTTCAGTGCCCCCACCCCCAACGTTATCCCGAACCCACAAAGATCGGAGCAGTCCTTACCCCTACAAGTACCTGGTGGAATTAGGGGTGGGCAGGTGTGTTTCTGAACCCCAGGTCGTGGTCCCCCTGAAGAATGTGAGCTTCCTGTGTGGCTGTGCCAAGCATGCACACCTAGCTATTTCTGCAACTCTTTTGGCTGGGCAGTGGTTGCGCTACCAGGGGTGCACTGGAAACCTATTCAACCCGGCCGGGCTGCTTCCATTTTCTGATTCAGAATTTCTGAGAGATAGGACCAAAGGGCTGCTGATTTTCAGCCCTGTTCCCCAGGTGATCTGCTTTGTATCTGTGTGGCTCAGTATGAAAGCCCAACAGATGGGACAGGGCTCTCTGAGTTGCCAGCAGTGCCTTACAGGTGCACCTCACATGCCTGTAGCTCTGAGCTTGCCACAAAGCAGATCTGAGATGCTTATGGTGATGCTGGATGTCAAATGCAAGTTCTTATCACCTAAGGTTCCCCTGTGCTTGGAACAGCACAATGGAGCTGCATCCCATATGGTTTAAATGTGTTCTAAGCTACATTGCATTCAGTAGCAATGAAAGCAATAGGATTTCAAGCGACAAGAGACACAAGACCAGGCATGATGTTACAGGAAGAACCAGCAGGAAAGAAATAGACATTGATGCTCAAAACTGACACTTGAGGATACTTCAAACTATTTGTAGAAAAATGGATTTAAGTGATTCTATTTTTGTGCGTTTTTGAAATCCATGGATAGTTGTTCTATTTATGTATTTCTGTGAATTTTGGAAGAACCCTTGTTTGCTCACATTTAAAACTGTTTCAGCAAAGTAAACTTATTTTTTTAAGAAGATTGATTTTTATTTCTACTCAAAACAGTTACAGAGAGAAGGAAAGACAGAGAGAGGAGAGATCTTCCATCTGCTGGTTCACTCCCCAAATGGCTACAATGGCTGGAGCTGGGCCAGTGTGAAGCCAGGAGCCAGGAACTTTTTTGGTCTCTCACATGGATGCAGAGTCCCAAGGACTTGGGCCATCCTCTGTTGCTTTTCCAGCCCACAAGCAGGGATCTGGATGCGAAGTGCAGCTCTGGCACTTGAGTCAGTGCCCTTAGCGTATGCCAGTGACACAGGCGGAAGTCTGGTCTACTCCAGCTTAAGGTTTTGTTTGCTTTGTTTGCTTTGAGAGGCAAGGACACAGAGAAGCGAAGGGAGACAGACAGATCTTTGTGGTGATTTATTCCCCAAACGTCTGCAATTGCCAAGGCTGGACCATGCCGCAGCTGGTAGCTAAGAACTCAATCCAGGGGCCTAACCACTTGTGCCATCATCTATGCTTCCCAAGGTCTGCATGCATAGGAAGCTGCAATTAGGAGCCGGAGCTAGAGCCAAGGCCAGAGGGTGAACTCAGTACTCCAACATGGTCTGCCAGTATCTACATCACAATATCATGGACTTATCATCAATCTCGTTTTAAAAAGTTACTTTATTTATTGTTATTGCAAAGTAGATTTACAGAGAGATGGAGAGACAGAGAGAAAGATCTTCCCTCTGCTGTTTCTCTCCACAACAATCTGAGCTGAGCTGACCCAAAGCCAGGAGCCAAAAGTTTCCTCCTGGTTTCCCAAACAGCTGCAGCCTCCCACGGCCTTTGGCCTTCCTCCAATGCTACCACAATCAGGGAGCTGGATGGGAAGTGAAGCAGCCAGGACATGAACTGGTGCTCATATGGGATGCCAATGCAGGAGTACCAGCTAGCTGAGCCTTTGCACTGTCTCCTAATCCCATTTTTTCTAAAGTAACCTCCTATATATCAACCACAGCAGTTCTTTTTCTTTTGATCAATCACTGTATTATTGCTATCATTACTAACTTTACAGTTGGGGAGTGTTAATTCAGGTGTAACTACTGCTGAAACATATTAAGACCCAAAAACTAAATAAAATTAGAAACTTATATTAAAATTATAATTAATGGAAAAGGCAAGTTCCTTTCATTTGTCTATGTAACCTTAGACTTTGCAAGCATGTTACATCTTGGATATTTAAAATAAATAGCCCGCTTTCCTTTCTCGCCGTGTCGCAACCCAATGCCAGGCGTTCATTCTCGTTGTTATAGGAATTCAGTCCCTTTTCTGTTTGTTTAGACGGGTGAGTAAAAGAATAATCCGAGAATTGGGTAGAGCTTTGCTTCAACTGTCATCACTCCTGTGTGGAGAACCAGAAAGAAACTCTTGATCAGTTTAGAAAACAGCAATATGTTTATGAACTGCGAGGCACCATGCAGCCCAGCAGCGAGAACAAAAGGAGGCAATGCCCTCAATCTCACACATATTCACAGCAAAAGGCACCTGTTCCTGTGAAGCTTTGTTGGAACAGGAGCATGGGTGACCTGGCTTACCTTGTGCTGCTGGCAGTCAATATGTAGAAACCACACCAAGAGTACCTCCAGCCTCAAGACGCACCAACGTTCCATAGCAATGCAAATAAGTTACTGTGCTCAGTTACACGATTCAATATGCTAAATGCAGGTTCTCTACCCTGAAATTGGAGCTGGCATTCTTGGACCAACGGTGAGAACTGGCAACGTGCGTTTCAGTAGGCTATTCATCAGACAGATGTTGGCTGTGCTAGGAGGCTCAATGGTTGTGTTGGCAATCCTTGTTCTCAATGGTCATGTCAGAACCGTGCTCTCCCTTGGAGGCAGCCAGCTCATGTACCGCCAAGGCAGACAGATGGATGGCCTATTTCAAGTCAGCTCTTTAATTTTACCCCTTTCCTTTAAAAGGAGTGTGTGTTGTTTAAAGGATAGCAGCTTTCAAAAAAATCTGTATATAACAGCTAGAACTTCCATAAGAAAAAATGCGAAGTGAAACAGTGAAGCTGTGTAGCAACTGTCATTCATAAAAACAAGGCACAAATTCTTCAGATCGTATTTACTCGTTGGCTCCTGGACTTGGGAGAGCATCTGGGGAGGGAGGAGGTGACTGAACGCAAGTAAAAGAAAGCCAAAGTTTAACCTGTCTGCTCCTGTCTGCACTCGAATTTTGTTGTATCTGGTAATGGCATTCCCTTTCAGCTGCATGCTTTATAGCAATCATCTCTGACCCACCCATCCTTTCCCCTTTGTTACCTAGGACCAGGACCTGCACTGGCCCAGCCACTCCGCAAGTGGGCCCCGGGTTTCCGTCAACGTTGCCAGTCCCCGGAAAGTCAGAAACGTGACCATGGTGTAGGGAAGCCTTCCTTTGGACCTCACTTTGCCCTTGGCCGACGGCTGCAGAGCCATGTCCTGCTTCATATTCATCCCAAGCCTATCTGCACTGGGTCAGGGTGGCCTGGAAGTGGGACCCTGGAGCCACTGGACCGGACCCTGTGCCCTGAGAGGAAGAAATGACTTTCCCAGCTTCTGAAGCAGAATTTGACTTTTCACTGTTGAACTCTCAGTGAATTCCATGAGATTACCAAGAAAAAAAACCTGCCGATTCATCCCATGCTGCTTCTAACACTCCGGCCTGCAAATCCAGTGAACGGTGAACTCTACTTTACCACATCATTTACAATGCTTTTGTAATCCTCAATCCATATCATCTTTAGCCCATATTCAGATTTATTTATATGTGTATCACATGTTATCAGTGAATTAAGAGGACAGCAATTAGTATCAATTAGAAATCTAACATTGGTAGGTCGCAGTGAGTTAAAATTAAGAACAAATTCCTATGCTCATGAATAACCCACAATTGTATTTTTATTGATTTTTCAGCCAATTCCTTATAGGGCTGTTCTCATCTCGTCATCTGAATTAAATGCAGAGGGTGCTTGTGAGGGATGGATCTTATTCCATAGACAAGAAAAGAACTGGAAGTGGACCCCTTGGTCTTTAATAAACAAAACAGAAACACCAAATGCTTGCAGTGCCTTTCTTAACCATGTGCCATGTAGGTGGTGGTCTAAAGAATTCCACGCGTCGGGATCATGTGTTCTCCAGAAAGGGAAACATGGAAACTTCCACAATGCGCAATCCCTCTCCTTCCCTTCTTTCCCGTGACTCTTGTCCATTTGCCTCATTTAAAATCAACATCAGAATATTTTCTTGGAACACAATTGCTGCCTTTTCCAGACATTTCTCTCTTGGCATGAAGATATAGCCTGTGTTTCCAGCCCCACGCACCCTGCCCCTTCCGAAGAGACTTACAGACTCGTGACTGACTCTGAACTTGTTAGCATAGATTTCTAGCTGGTTTGTACGTAGTGCCTGCTCTGAGCATCCCATACTAAATCATGCTGTCACCAAAGCAGAATTTGGCCTTTTACAGTATGTCAAGATTTCAGCGACTTTCTTACAAAGGAACAGATGTAACTCTGTCATGATGATCTTTCTCTTTACCCAGCATTCTTGCCTATTAATCTGGTGAATAGTGGACTGTCCTTTGACACCATGAAGAATAAAATACTTTCACGATCTTAAATCAGCCCCAGCTTGGCCCTCTTCCTACAAACCAACAGACAAGGCAGAAGTTACTTTACGGCACAATGTGAGCTGCGATGGCTATCTGTTCTCAGTGACCAGAACCCATGTGATAGCCATTCTGATTGCTTGGTGCCCACACAGTAAAAGTTCAGATTGGATGGGGTTCATATATTACTGATTGCCAAGTATTTTGAATATCACAATTGTGATAAAAATAAAACCCACTGTGGATTAAAAAATGCCTTCTCCCCTAGGGCTTCTCTTCTAGGGCTTCTCATGTCCCTAACAGGATAAATTTGCTTACTCTTTTCTTGAAAATAGAAATGAAATGCAAAAAATCCAGAAACACCTTGAATACTGCTGTAGCACTTTGCTGAGAGTCTTTTCTGTAGGAAAATTGCCAATTCAACTGCTCAAGCAGATTCTTGCTTATCCTGTTCGTTTCTGTTACCCTCCCGGCCAGTGGGACTCTCTCCACCACAACCGTGCTTAAGTCAATGCAAAGATGAGAATGCTTGGGGTGAACATCCTGTTCTTCTCCTTAAGCCACTACAGAATCCAGATCTCAAGACAAGGAAAATGACATGTGGCTTATGTCTTTCCTTCTAGGAACCCGTGTGTTACAAGGATCCCATCAATACTGACACCAAGCAGGTCAAGATTGAGGAAGGCAGTGTGTGGACCACAGTGGGATGTGGCTATCCGCCTGCTCTGAGAATCGTTTATCACAATTTTAGCAGTCGAGGGGGTTGCACAGGGACCATAATTGAATTTGAAGTTTTAAACTCTGGGGACCAATGCTAAAGGATTTTTCACAGAAATTTCTGCAGCTTAATATAAGCTTATTGAATAACTCTCCAAGTATTTTTATTTTTCATTTATCAGATGGTGGAAACTTTTTCCATATCACTAACACACAACTTCTTATTGTGTCTCGCTCCAGGGAGGAAAGATTTTTCAAAGAAAATCCATGGCCAGTTTCATTTCATGAGCGATGATTTGTTATCTGAACAGAACTCTCTGGAACTGCACCATAGAAACACAGGACTGTTTAAGCTGTTGAAGCTAAATTCGTTTTTCTTCATTGCACAGCTACATCTCCAGTGCACAGTCTCCGGGTGTGACCAGCGGCTGCTGCGCTGGACATTGTGCATTTCCATTGTTGCAGCAGGTCCCATTGGAAACAGCTGTTCAGAAATGACCTTGATGTGTCTGGAATGGGCTTGTTCACACAAACTCCATTTTCTTCAGTGTTATCTCTATGCATTCAGCCACTTTCTATTTAGGAATCCTGCAAACCCCAGGGCAGCTCTGAAGTGAAAATGGTGTTTTGCTGAGGTGGCGAAGCCTACTCTCACTTCTGCAATGTGGAAGCCTTGCTGAGATGGGTTGTGGGGGAGGCGCCAGAGGAGTCCATCGCAACAAAAGGCCTCAGTCTCAAGGTTTTTCAAGGTGACTGCTGCTCCCTGCACATGAGTGTCCAGCAAGGTTGCACATTTACGAAAACAAGTAATTCTCAAAATCATGTATCGTAAAATCTCAGGAAAATTACACTTGCCTGTTCCTCCCAGGGGTCTTTGATGATGCTCAAATTTCCAGCTAGCCCCACAGAGCCAGAAATCTTCCGTGGATTTCTCAGGCCTAAGACTCAACAGTAACATGGGAACCTGGAGAATTCTCGGGGAGTGCAGGCTCAAGGTGGAAGGTGGACGTCGGTGACCTCATCTTGGAAAATGGCTAGGGTGTCGCTATTGGGCTCAGGTGGGGAAATGAGAAAGATTTGTACCTGCTACCCAATCCGTTCCCTCTCCAGCTCCAGTATGCACTTGACCACAACCAGGCAGAAGGCGAAAGTGCCCTGGGGAGGCTGAGCTGGGTGGAGAATGGATGTGAAGAGGCAATTAGAGCATTCAGGAAGCTGAGCTCAAGGATTGGGAATGTGTGTATGTGAAATGAGATGGAAAGATCCTCTGCCTGCTGGGATCGCATTGCTCTTTCTGAAAGCCAGGGGCCACTTGCTCAATGAAGGCATCCCTGGCAGAGAATCCTGAGTTCTCTGCTGCTCTTGAGTGGCCGAGGATCTTGGTGCCCAGCTCCACATCTCTAGGGCAAGGGGCCCGGATAGAAGACTCCTGGAGTCCCTTCTGGCACTTTGTTTTGTGGGGATGTTCACACGCAGTTGAATCTTTTATGGTCCAGTTGTCAGAACCTTGCTGGATCTGAGTGCTGTACAGCCCTCATCCCTGTAGCCCTGGGTAAGGCACTGGGTTCCTGCAGATGGTGAATATCCAATTCTCACCCAGTAGGAGCTGTGAATCACGCCAAGCATACTGCTGGTTTCCAGGGAGCCTTCATGGGCAGCTTGGGCAGCAGGAGCTCTGCCCTTGTAGCTGTCACCTTGCCAACAAGTGGTTTGTGACACCAAGGGGGTGTTGATCCCACTGGGCCTAAGGGGCAGACATGCAGAAATGAGTGCCCAGCCCATGGCTTCAGACTACTTTTTGTACCCTGCCTGGGAGTCACACTGGGTTGACACAGTGGAAAATTGATAAGATCTTCATTGAGTCTGTGGGGAAGCCCAGCACTGAGCATATTGATTCCATTTCTCTTCAGAAGTCCGAGAATGTGCAATATTTCACAGAGTAACTCAATTTGGGAACAGTGGGTAATGCTATGCTTCAATTTCATGGATAAGCAAGTCTGAGGTCGTTCCAATAATAGCAAATTATTGTTTAAATCAAAAACTAATTTTAAAAATTACAGTTGATCTCGTCTTTTGTTGTTGTTGTTTCACAGAAAGGGAAGATTGAGCTGGATTAGGTGAAATGCAGGCAGCCTGGAGGCTTCTGGTACAGTGGGAGTAGGGGGTGAGTCTGTGTGTGTGGGTGGGTGCAATGTGTGCATGGGCACAGGTGAGCTGGATGAGTTCATGGGGATGTGACATGGATGCATGTGGTGTTCATGTATTTCCTATGTGCAAGCATGCATCCTTGTAGATGTGTTTCTATGGTATGTGTGCGATATATTGTGCATTTGTGTGTATGTGGCGTGTCTGTATGCTTACATACTACGTGTGTGAATTTGTACACGATGTGTAATTGTGTGTATGTGGTATGCATACATGCTTATGTGAATGTGTGTGTATATAAACAGTAGAAGAAGGAGAGGAGACACATTTGTTTCCTTCTTTTTAAGATTTGTTTGTAAGTCAGTTACTGAGAGACGGAGACACAGGGAGAGAGGGCGAGAACTTCCACCCACTGCTATGAAATCATTTGTACTGATCCAAAAATAGGCAGGAAAACTTCCATAGAGCATTTTTATGTCATGTGAGTCAGCAAATACTGTGAGTGAAAGTTATATGAAAATTGAAAATGAATAACTGAGGAGAGATTTCCTGCAGTTGGGTGATTCGACTTCTAAGAAAAACACCAAGACATACGATACAGGACTGGGACACACAGGACACAGGACTGGGACACACAGGACACAGGACTGGGGCAACTGAGCACCAAATTGCTTAGAAATGATGCTTTGTTGTCTCTGAAGAGTAAAAGCCAATCCAAAAGGATTTACAATCAGGATGGAGGTGTGGTGTAGTAGGCAATGCTGCCAGCAGCAACGTTGGTATCCCATATGGGCACCAGTTTAAGTCCTGGTTCCTCTGCCTCTGATCTGGCTCCTTGCCAATGGTCCAGGAAAGCAACATGAAACAGGAATAAAGGAATAAGGAAATTGATGCAGAGGAAAGGAGAAACCGGAAAGAGGCGTCTGCCATTCCAGTATAGCATCCCAAGCCAGCTGGCGTGGCAGTAATGCACAGGAATGCCCAGCTCCTGCAAGGAGTGGGGGATGCCTCTCCTTACTCGTCTGCTCTCATTCCCGTTGACTCAAACATGAACATAATGAGAAGCTCTTGGAGCACAACGGGGAGAAGACTCCAGGAGCTGTGCAAGATGGAGTTTTCAGGATGCAAGGTGAGATCAAGTTCGCTGTGCTTCGTTCCCATGGCTGCAGAGCTGCGGCTTGGCTCTAGAGGCCTCTGCTTAAGGGAGATCCCCCTCCACTTTTCCTTCTTGACTCCACACTCAAACATGCACAGATCGGGGAGAAGCACCAGCATTGAACAAACCCACACTCTGGATGCTCCAACTTTTGTCTCCAAGGGCTGAGTGCTGTCATCCTTTCAGCTTTGTCAGAAAAACTGTACAGTACTTGCAGCTGCTTCTGGATTTTGATAAGAAAACAATTTTATG